CTTCCGTCTAACAATTGATAATATTGTTTAATTATATGTGAAACGAACTGTAATCGTGATAAAATTATAGAACAGAAAGTATTTATGATAAAAATAATCATTGAAGTCGGATAAAAATAAGTCAATATGAATATTCACATTGGTTTATTATTATTTTTTTTTTTTGAATAAATTACTCACATTTTCCTACTTAAGTTTTAAATCAATAGTAAGGTAAACATTTATATTCTAGTAAGTGTTCTACAGATTATAATGTACCGTGTAGTGAATTTGCTTTCATTAATATGGTAGGAGTAGCTTAATGACTTGCCCTTATAGTATGAATATTCAGCGAGGCTTACTTTGCTAGATGAGGCTTCAAAGGGTTAATCTGAGCGATAAATGCTTTAATTTCTAGTTGCAAAATTAATAATAAAGTTCTTTATAAATATATACTTGAGATTACTATGATAGTAATATCTCTGTTTACATTAACTATTCCTTCTTTCCTACGACGTCCCCCATCAATCTCATACTGTCATATTGCTTTTAGATCCCCCTTAACCTTTTCGCTATACTTATGCTACATTAAGATTTATATATTTAGATAACAGATACGAATAGACATGGCAGAGATTTCTCACTGTTGGTCTCTTCCAGTCAACCTTTGAGAAGCTGAGAGAACCTCTTGTTGCTGGCAGCTTGTCCACCGTTCTTTTTATAAACTTTGTATTATTGATGTTTATTTTTTATATGTCACTTTTGACTTCTTCTTCTTCTTCGCTGTGGGCCCTTTTGAGAAATATACACATTTATTACAATTATTAAAGATTTTTATTAATAGTCCTTGTGTACATCCAGTCTCTCTCATAGAAACCACACATCATTTACAAAATTACATTACTGCTATTATTTATATAATAACAATAATAGTTACTTAGTTTCGGCCCGTAAGTTTGCTATGGGCCATAGCACACAGCGTAACCAGCAAAAGCTGAGAAAATTAACTATATCTCTGGACAACAATACTTATACGATATTTTTAAATACATACACAATATACGTAGAAAACACCAAGACCAATATAATCACTCACGAATATAAATTATTATATCCGTGCGCTGATGTCGATCCTGAGACCATCGAAAGTAAAGTTGTCCTAATTAGGATAACCACCGAGGCCGTGTCAGAAAGAAATCTCCTGGATTAAGTAGTCAGAGGTATTGTCATTTGTTGATGTAGCGAAATATCCAAAGTAGCATGAAATAGGACTACCATCGCATCTCTCAAAATACTTTGGTTTGATATCATTAACGCAAAGATTTATTATCGGTCAGATTCGGTACTTAATATATATGTATATCTCTCCAAAAAAAATAATGCGTGTATTTAGTGTTACATATACTATGGTATTATTCCTACAGCAGACCTACAGAAAGCTCAACCACCGGTAATAAAATAAAACAATGCTTTCAAAAGATCAATAAAGGAAATAGTTGGAACAAATGACCACAAATTACTATAAGAACAGTACAAAGTTGGATTTGAACAAAGAAAGGGCGGATGGAGCAACAAAGTGCGTAAACAAGGGGTCTCATTGGTTTTATTTGAAAAGTTCGGATGATCGCGGTTTACTACCTACAACCGAGAAGGTCTTCCTTGGGTTAAATCAGTTCCAGCTTCAAAATACGAATTTTCATATAAACTAAAGGTAACATAACATAAATCTCTACATTTACGTACATTATTATAACCAAACTTGATTTAGATATTTTCAAGAAGTTTTGTTATTTTAAATGTATTACCCTTTTTGTAAGTTCGTTTTCATATAAATTTAAAAAAGCAGTAATGATATGATGTCTCGACATTCTTAGACCGTTATTTTGCGGAAATCAATATATCAGTTGGGAGTCACAAAAATCCTAATTAATTTTATTTATTTCGGACATCCATCAATGTTATGTTAGTAAACAACTTACAAACTATGTTAGTAAATTACAATAAATATCCTTATTATTTTGATTCATATATCTATGTCTATGTCCACGTCCAGAAGCATTGGGTCCGCAGCAGTGTAATTATGTCCAGTACCTCTGGAGCGGACATTTATTTTCTTTTTTTTTTATATTTAATTCATGTTGACGGGCATAAAAAAGATTAAATGTTTCGTTTGGTACTATATAATTCGACCTCTACTGGTCTAGCGAGGTAGCACACCGCCTTACTTCCGATGGTCGCGGGTTCGATTACTCACACGGCGCAAACATTTATATTCATGAGTATGATTGTTTATGCCGGTTTGGGTGTTCTCTATGTATTATATGTATATATTTACGAAAAAATACCTATATATTTGTATCAGTTATTTAGCACCCATAACACAAGCTTTAGCTAGCTTGGGTCTAGATGATGCTGTGTGTGACATATCATATGTCTATGTTCATTTTTTTTGAAATGATATCAGTCTATCCATGAATCGATATCATAATAATGCATGCATCGATGTCGCTAACTAACTAACACAATCACACGTGTTTAACAATACATTCCAATTCTTTATCGAACAGTTATCCCAATTACAATACAACTCTATGCTGTAGTTTTGCGAGAAAACCTTGGCGGACAGTTCATTCCACAATTTAAAAGTGTGTGGGGTTTAAGTTTTTTTTTGAGGACTGCTCTAATGCTATTGGCTGCAACTGGCCTTTACAGCTTCACCGGACGTTAGGGGGCGCGTGCAGATGGCACAAACCCGCGGAAGGACTTATGGAGCGGCTGAAGGCTAACTCCGGCCTGACGAATACGACTTTAGTCTGAGGGCACCACTAGGGGTTCGAATCTCGTCTCAAGCTATCGTAATATCGATCCCTGTTTAAATTGAACGGGGGATCGACCGGAAGGGTGGGGTTTAAGTACTCGACTCGAAACATATTACCACTTCTTAATTTCTTTGCACTAGAGTAGTAGCCTTAATAAAATTGGTACTGCAATAAATCGAACATATACTGTTAATATAATTGAATGAATCCGAGCTTGATGGGAATAAAAATACTTTTAAAAACAGTAAAATTTCCACCATATTTAATACATGAATAAAAGACATTTTTAATTTTTTTATAAGTATATAGTAACAGAATTATCATATATGGCTTAAACAATAATAAACACAGTAGTGTATGATAATGGATGGATGTTTGTTTTTGATCTATAGTAATAGTAGTTCAAATTAACGAGTGTAAAAGATCCAGACAAAATTTCAGTACCATTAACCACGCTTAGTATAAAGTACATTCAAATAATTTATTTAATACTTAGACTAACGTCTATAGAGACAACGATAACATAATACAGTAATATAGGTATGACAGCCAACAAACAGTTAATTATCTTTATTACATAATATAGGGTGACTATTAGTTCGCACTAGAATTAGTGGACATGTCAAAGACACTGCTTTTCGGCAAAAATGGCTCCATAATCAATTCAATCAATAGAGACAGATAAGACTGTGCCGACGTTATTGCAGAGTAATTAATCTTTGTCATTGTTGCCTCCGTTTGCAGATCTGTTTCCGAGCGATATAGACAGCTGTCTTTGTGGACCCCCCCGTTTCACTTAATTTGCCTTATGATCTTATCCATAGATATCTCTGTAAAATATTCGTTTAACTTCAGAACAATGCCTTATTGACAACTTTACAAGCAGATTAAGGTTTTGGTCTTGCATTCGTGAAATTTTGTATTAAAATATTATTTTAATGTCTTTTATATTTTTTTAGTTATGTATAGATGTTAGTATATTGTCAATACAATATGTTTAATATCATTTAAGATATGGCCGCCATGTATACATTTTTGTGTGCACAAGAATAAATTAATTAATAAGACCTCATGGAAATAGTGGATACTAGAGTATTTCTATATATTGTAATTATTGATCCCTTATTGCACAACCATAGTGCTTTGAAAATATGAACATACGGTTCAGTTACACTACGGATATTGAGTTCGAGTCGTATATCTCTTTTGTGCGCGAGATTAAAGAGGCGATGGCATGGTCCGATGCCATCCATCTCCCTTAATGCTGTTTCGACGCGAACGTTCGACGCGTACCGTCACCCCGCTCTCTCGTAACAGCTCTGAGCACGACCCCATCACTTATGCATTGAAATATTATTTCCAGGATATCCAACCATATAAAAATAAATGCACCTCCTTCTTCTTGCTTTTATTATTATTCATATAAGTTTAAAAATTCTTTCACGACACGTTATATCTACATTCGATACATGCAGCCCTTCTGCATTAGAATCTACAGATAGCATTCTGTTTCTAGAATTATTTTTAATACAATTCTCATGGTTAATATGTTGACGGCTTATAGTAAATGCAATACGGACATTACATTGTCATGTGTTACTACATACGTACATATGACCACTCACGCGTTGCCATTCTTGCGAAGACGTTTTTTAGTCTAGTCAATGCCGAAGAAACAATACTTCTGACAGACAGAAACAGATTCTAGAAACAATGAGACCCGAGAAGCCTGCGAAGATATCAATATAATCTCTTGCATTTCTGGGAAAATCTTGTCTGCATAATATAAGTATTATAGTTTCGGCTCTATACGCACGACGTCACAAATGTAATAATTATTTCAAGATTTTTATATTTCTATAAACACATCTACACTGATTTATAAGAAGACATGGTACAATTGTACTTTTGAGTAGTTCGTAATAAATAATTTTGGTAAATATCTTCCAAACTTTTAGGCCATTCGTTTGCAAATCTTTTCATTACAATAAAAAGAGAAAAAAGGTTACTGTGGCGCCTATTGTAAAGAAAAATTATTCCTTAGTTGTCTCATAAGAACTTTAAACAATAGAATACCAATTGTCATAAAAGAAACACAATACCTTTTTTTACAAAATATAATATTATTGAGCATGTACATATATCAATAGTACGTGTATATAAAATGTACATTATCACTAATATTCAGTAACAATTAACTATAAATTAACAACAATATAAAACTAACATTTAAAAAAGTATTTCACCACTCTTCTACGTAACTGCTATATGGGTAGCTCCTGTAGCTCCTGAAAAGATAAATTTCAATGATTATAATTTACTCTAATTACCAACAAGATGTCATATCTAATAATAAAATTAATTCTACTTATTTTATAAAGCGTTTTATGTAAATCTAAACATGTCAGTAAAATGTAGGTAACGTCTGAATTTGGAAGTTATAAGAGAAAAACTGTAATTGACGGATTTTATCAAAGTAATAGAACCCAAAACAATCATTGTTACAATTTTTGTCTGTCAATACATTTGTACATGCTGTTCTCAGAAATGGCTTATCCGATTTACGTGCGGTGTTAACAAATGTGTCGCAGTAATTTTCACTTAAAAATGTTATATTTGTTATAGTCCAATCGATTTACAAATATATATATATACGGGTACAAAAACGGAGGCGAATACGCGGATTTAACTAGTATTGTGTACATACCTGTATCCACCATAGCCATATCCACCATAATATCCTCCGCCGTAGCCGTACCCTCCTCCGTAGCTGCGTCCGATTGCAGAAGCAGCCAAGGCACCGCCAAATACACCAGCGCCAACTGCCTTAGCACCAAGTAACCCGGCCCCCACCACGCCAGCTCCCAGGACTCCGGCTCCGATCGCACCAGCGCCCAATAGACCAGCTCCTGTTATATTGTACTTTAAACACTATTTGTCTATTTTTCATTTATTAATATAAACATTTTAGTAATTAGGCATGTACTGGCAATAGCCCCGTTTTTATTGTAATTAACAAACAGACCCATATATGTAGGTAAAATTTGAACATCCGTATATTTAAGAAATGACATATTGTGATGTAGCACAATATCAGTACGTAACTTTTGCTAACTATATACTTATTTTCGTTTAAAATCTACTAAACCTCCAAAGATTACGGCCTAAACTGAAAGAAATGTTCATAACTAAATTTACAGTAGGTACTTGACTGTTGAATGTTGCAAAATATTTTTACACCATTTTATAACGAGCACAGATTGTCTAATTTTTTTAAACCCATTGACTATAATTTACTATGGGGTATAATTAACATTGTTATAGTATTCGTTTTTCCTCAGGTGTATCGATTCAAACCGACCCGATTGTGTGCGTATCACGCACTCTGCCTTTGTTCGATAATTATAATATATGCTGCTATGTAATCTATCACGAATCCCAAGGGCTGGAAAGTTAGTCCGCCTTTGGGATATTAGCTGTATCCGTCTAAACTGCTTTACACCTCAGCGCTCATATCAGTCACGCTGCGCATATCAAACACTACTTTCGAATATCCAATATATCATAACTAGTTTCTGAAATTAATACATAACAATCCATATTATAACATGACCATGTTTACAGAATTTAAATTACTACTAATATTTTTTTCATTTCAATTGAATTTCTCTATAAACATCACACTCAAATTTCGTAATAGAAAAAATCGTCATCTCTAGACCATTGTGGTCCAGCAATGAGCTGGATATATGGCTCTCACAAGACTCACCACTACATACATTTTCTTTAATCCTTCTCTTTCAATTGTTACCTGCGCCTTATATACAATTTATTGTCGCTCCACCTTTGCACTACCACCCGCAATACATTTGCCGATATGCATTGAAAACACGCGGGTTGACGTTGAAGCGATTTTCTCTTCGTGAGCGACTATCGGTTCTATGACAAGTATGACCAGCCCCCTATCTATACGTTACATAATACATCGTATACAAACTACACCTTGGGAAGAGAAATATTTAGTATATATGAGCGAAATCGGTCTAGAAATACTTGAATTATGAATATATAGTAAAATTAGGCTTATGGTCAAAACGTTCATATTGTTGTTGGACTTGCAAAACTCCGCGATACATACGAGTATATATTACTTATAAAATTATAACAAACACTGACACGACAGTATCAGAAACGGCTTAACCAATCCTTATAAAATTTTGTGTGTATAGTATATCTGAGTAGATATTAGTAGATCTGAGTATAGGATGACCCCAATAACTTTATTTATACTTTTGGATTTTAATATAGATATTAGTTTATACAGCAAAACATCGTTCAGCTAGTATATTTATAAAATGCCTTATAAAGTGCCTTACCAATAGGCGATAATGATTAATAACTAAAATTATTAATGTCAAAATATCTTCAAAGCAAAATATCTTCAATTATATTTTTATTTACATAATAGTAGCTCTTTAAGTACATGAAACTGGGATTTAACAGGTAAATTGTCTTTTGATTCATTAATTAATTCATTTTCCGCTCGTAGGTACCACAGCGTCTTAACTCACATGTGTCGTGTACGAAATGCAAATAAAGTTATAATTTGAATATTTCTTATACATTAGAATATATTATCAAGGTTTGGGCATCAAATGGAATATTTTGATGAACATATTCTATATATGTAGACATAAAAGTTTGTGTTGTACCTATTTTATCTACATTTACAAGAATAACTTAAATTTTAAAATTTATTTAAAACCTAATTCAATTTACAAAATTAATTAAATCGATTTTCATGTTATTCTTTTTATTTAATAAAATTAGTTACCGAATTAAATCTACTTTATTCATAGTATTAATTTATGTTAACAATATAAGATATACGCATATTTATTTAAAAATGAAAACTAACAAATGATTATTTTATAATGGTATACATTTTATTTTGCATTGTATTTTATTCTATATAAATACCTACAACCAAATACCTGCAGGTTTCAGTCGGTGAAGAATAAAATTGCTTATAAGCTTTTTAAAAGCTAGTTTTCATTATTATAAAAAACTACAAATAATCCATTATTTATTTAGTATAAATACCTGTACTAAATTTCTTACCCAGTAACAGTGATCTCTTTTCTCTACTCTGTTCTGCCTCTGGCTCGACCACAACGAACTCTTGAATGCCATTTGGCTGCAGCGCAGTCAGTAACGGACCATGCTCAGCTGCTAAAGACACTGCACAAGCTGCCAGTACAGCAAAAACCAGGGTGCACACCTTCATTGTTATCTGAAGATGAAGAATATCATGTAATAACTTAAATTTAGTTTCATCATATCTATAATTTTTCTTTAATCACTACTGAATAAAGTATTTGTCATTGTCATTGTCTACCAATATTTGTCATTACCCTTAAATGTTACATAGATTTAAATAGTTATTATTATTATATTAAACATGCTATTAAATTGTAAATATGCACATTATATTGTTGCTGGGAAAATTAAGAATTCGGGAATCGCAGTGCATTATAAAATGTCATAAAAGTTAATAAAACAATAGGTCTTATTGTCCACTGTGCTTATAGCGTAAGGAATCTAATGTGAATATTAATAACGTAAGGTAAGGTAAATAATCATGTAAGGTTACTTAGAATGAATACAATTAAAATCATAATAATAATCTATGATGGTACCTATCATTTATAAATCAATTCCTAAATAGTAGAATACTTAATATACCTCTATAATAAAAAATATTTCAAACGTAACCCTACATAATTATTATGTTTTAAAAGATAGGTATCTAATATTGGTTAAAGTTTGCTATTAAGTTTAAAATTAATTAAGGTGGATTAATTTAGAGCAAATTTAAGTTGAGGACTGACCTGTTTGATTAATCCACGGCTAGCAACAGCAACAGGCACGAAAAATACTGTCCAGCGAAATCCTATTGGTGTCTTTTATAGGTCGGCTATCGGAACACACACGTAAACATTATCTATATAGACATCAATATATTATGTCATTGCCCCACGGAAGGCATGCGGCCGCCCCTACGGCGTATGCCAATAATATTTGATACGCATATAATAATATCCCTGGGTCCAGGTATTCAATATTCATTAGACGTTATAACAAACATTTGTTGATGAGCATAGTTAGTGAACAGGGAATTTGAAGTCATATCTTATTAATAATATTAATATATACTAATATAGAGAAAATATTGTATATTTGTAATGGAGGAATTGAATGAATACTTTAACGTCTTTAAAAATGCTTTCTGTTTTTAAAAACTACAATATTCTAGATTGACAGGTGCTATATATTTCGATTTCATATACAAAACTCACGTTATGAGTACCGAGTGAAGCCTAGGTGGACAGCTAGTGTATTTATAATACACTTAATTCAACAAAAATATACATTTTATAGGTTTCGATTACTTATTCGACTTTAACATTCGTTACTTAAAAATACATAGGATGTTGATTAATATGCTATTAATTACTTATTACAGACCAGCAGTATTTTTTGTTACTTACTGATTTTCTGCTTTTTAAATCTTCTAAATAAAACAACTTCTATTAAAATGAAATACTTAATTTTTTTATAGCTGAGCATTTTGCTATTATGGGAAAAGGTCCATTATCACTGTTAACTCAGGAGTAAGTTAATTTTATCATGAATATTTATAACTTCTGAAAGCGGAGTGAATGGAATTTTTTAAGTTCTGTACCTATTAAGAATATCTAAGGGTTGTAACGGGATGGTCTCGGATCAGTATCTATACTTCCATAATAATATTATAAATGCAAATATAATGTTAATGCTATCTATGTCAATTTTTATCTATTCAATACAAAACGGGTCCTTACAAAAAATAAACATGTGAGGGATATATAATATGTTTTGAAATATGTATATATATGATACACACATCAACGTGCAAAGATATGTTTAAAAAAAAACCTCGGTACACTACCGGCACAAGATATATAAAATCACTATCACATTGATATTCAAATTAATTCAATATTTTATATCCGCTATAATGACCCCTAAATAAATTACGTTATCATTAGCGAAGGTGATTTACAAGTATTCTTATAAAAATATGAGATGGTAACTTCTAACTTAAGGTTCCGCATAATAAAAATATATGTTCACGACTCGATTATTCCAAAATTATATATATTATAATATCAACAACAGAGTAAATACTATCCTATCTATTTAATCTTAACAATAACTATTGTGTCGAATTTAAAATACAAAATTATAATCTAAATCTAAAATCATACCAATGTGCAAATATTAATAAATTAAGAATAATAATAACTCTCCCTGTGATAACAACGATAAATTATCACGCAAAATAAAGTAACGAGAGACTTGGCATGTCCCGTCCTCGTTACTAATCACCAGCTTCGCTGTGAAAAAGAGAAAATAATAATACTATCATATTATCATTTAAAAAAGAATGGTATGGAAAATAATCTATACATCGCGCGATACTCATTATTGGACTCAAGACTGAAACTCCTTAGATACTGTGTTTAATTTTTTAATGTGTAATTTTTTAATAGTATAATTAAAAAAATATTTTTTAAACTATATTAATATAAAACATCAATGCAATTGCTTGCTACTATAATTTAGTTCACCGATTCATCTCGTCTCATGCCCCAATAATGTTGGTTTCTTTGTTTAACTACAGAACTATGAAAATACGAAATGGTATAATTATTTCTAACCTGCGGGCCATGAAAATTTGCGAGGTTAATGGCCTGTCTTTATTTTACAGAATGTCTCGTAAAGGTCACAATTGACACTCCGAACTGTTAATTACTATTACACCTTCCGTTTAACTAGAAATTGATTGTAAACATGATCCATAAGTATAGGTATATAATGTAGGTAGTGTAGTTAATGTAGGTCCTTATTATGATCTTGTAAATTCTATGATGTGACTACATAATAAAAATGAATTATTTAATAATTAAAATTTTACAGAAAAAAAAATATATAGGTACATGAAATACGTATAACAATTTTCATATAGAAGCAAACAATTATAATAGATGTAATTTTTAAAACTTCCATACAAACTACGGTCACGTGATCAAATTTATATTTCAAATTTCTATTTTATTTTATGGTGAAAGTAATTCAGTTTTATTCTAGCAGTCAGTTCAGTTTTATTCTAGCTGATTACCCATCAGCTAGATTACCCATAAAACTGAAAAGTAATCTAGTTTAGTTTGTATTCGCATAAAATAAACTAATATCATCGATTAACACTCAACCAGATTGCCTGTGCACATTTTTCTTGTCTGCATTCCGGAAGTATTCACATTATTCATTATTATTTCATTCACACGTCAGAATGAAATAACATTCAAAATTAATTACATAACATTTAATGAAATGAAAATGATATCTATTCTACTCGTATTATCTAATAATTTACTATTATTATTATTAAGTATTAACTACACATAAACATATGTTTAGGAATTAATCAGGTGTTAAAATAATCATAATCATTGATTACAGACTGCATTTATATTTTGTGATAAAAATAATTGTAGAATGATCTAAATAACTTTAAAAGGTATATTGGGAAAGGCTATATTTAAATAAATTTTGATGCTAGGTCGTTTTAGTAGTTTACAAACTTTCCATGAAACTATATAGAACGTAAAATTGAAATAGTGTTCAATGACTATTTACGGAAACGTCAGAACTTTAAAACATGAAAGGGTTTTTGAGAATATCCTTAAAACTACTATGAATTTAAACATTTTGGAAGCGATAAACTGCCCAATTATAAAATTAATGAAACACGCATGTGGTTTTCTTTATCTTTATTAAAGTTAGGACTTTATTAATATAGTAGATGTATACAATAATTTTATGGCAAATAACAGTATTTACCTCTATTTTGCGACCTTTGATTATTTTGCACAGCCTTGGTCACAAGCAGCAATGAGTCAGTATCGGTAGGTGCCAGCAGTTTTATCTACTACCGTCACTAGATTATCCAATGAAACTAGCATGTGTGTGTGTTGATTTTCTATGTACTGTATGCGTAACTTTTTTTTTTTTATTATAATTGGGTTTGCGCTTGGTCTTACCTCATCTGATGGGAAATGATAGTTAGACCTACGATGTAGCGTGCTTACCCAGAAGATATGTATTCACCATAGACTTGAAGAATCCGGAATTATATTTCTCTGAGAACACGAACGCTGGAAGTGTGTTCCACTCTTTGGTGTGTATTAAAAATGACGATGTGAACCATTTGGTGGGAATATGTGTAATTTCGACGACGTAAGAATAAAGTCCTACTATTTGTCGTGTAGTTCGGTAATAGAAATTAAATTTATTCTGTTAAGCGATAAAAATCGACTTAAGTTATAATAAAATTACTATGATTTTTCTGCATATTAAATTTTATGGTTTTGAACTGACCCTTCTCTTTCAAGAAGATAAAGAAGATCTACAAGGATCATTGAACTCCACTTACAGACGTATTCATGTCCTTGTGGGTTTTACATATTTGTTCTTTCCATGTTCGTTTAGTTATATTAGAAGTAATTTACACTAGTTAACATAGTTACATCTTATTTTATTCACTATAAAGTGTAATTTTAAATTAGCAGAATGACACTGGGAAAATAATAATAATAATCTGACACGACATACAAATAAAAAATTGGGTGGCTAACATGTTACACCATATTTTCATGTCATATGTAAGGCAAAGAACGCTACACGTAAGTTTAAAAAATATTTAGTATAAAGAAAACTATTTCTTTTGTATTGACGACCTCGGTGGTCTAGCGGTTTAGATTGTCTAGTGGTTTGATGGTTGCGGATTCGATTCCTCGCAAGACATCTGTTTTCATGAGTATGACTATTTGTATCGGTCTGTGTGTTTTCTATATATAATATATATGAAATTTCGAAAATAAATATCTATGTATGTATCAGTTATCTAGTGCCCATAACACAAGCTTTAGCTGACTTACATAAATTGGGATCTAGATGGCGCTGTGTGAAATGTTCTGAGATTATTATATTATTATTACTATTGAATCAAACGCATATTTCACTTTTATTCTAATTTTCAATTGTTAAATACATAATAATGGGGGGAGAAACAGACTACTAACGATTTAAATCGGTCAGGCCCGTGGCGTCACGGTATCTGTTATAACCAACGAAATTTTTAAGGTGATGTACGTAAGGTACGTAAACTTTATTCACTAGTTTCTTAATTATTACGTCATGCAAAAAACTGTGTGCAATCATATTATGATCCATTCTATCATTCAGTCATTATGACTATTCTGTTGTACAATCTTCTAATCCAAGCAGCGATGTAGTTACATTGTACTCCCTACGTGCCGAATGTGTTCTCACAAGTTTACCTATTTCATCATCATAATAAAATTTGTATCCACTCTATTACAGCATATATTCAAGCCAATCAAAGACTTTGTCTAATAGAAATGTTTGTAGCGAAGGCTTGCAAATGTTATTACTTACAACGAATTCAGTTTATATTCTAAAGACAAATGCTAACTGAAATAAATCATCACATAAAATTATATCTATTGGGACCTTCTACTGCGTAATGTTAGGATATATATAAGGGAATTAAAAACATATTAGTATTAAAACGTTTATTTATTTGTTATAAATATTATAACAAACACTGTCACCAGTAATACTAAAGGTACCTAACCTTCTTAAGCTGTATTTACATATGGACTGTTCTTGTTGTTTTTGATATTATGGCGATATTACAAAAGTAAAAACGTACATCTACTGACCGATTTCATCACATAATATACACTCATATTGACAACCTACCCAAACAAACTAAAGTACCATGTAATATTTCTTAATCCATATTATGTGATCATAATTATATATACAAACCATACTAGATATTGTAAAAAAACAGTAATGTTCTTCTATTGACTGTCATGGTGTAGTTTATGAAAATTACTGCAAATCAGTATTATTATTTTTTTTTTAAATAGAAAAGGTCAGTTTTCATTTTTTTAGTACAGAATACTTGAATATATTCATAATCATTCAGCTAATACAAAAAAACGTTGGGAACACTATGTATAAGTACCACCATGAAAGTGCACATTAAAGCATCAGTTACTAAAAATACTACATATTAAATAATGACTACACAGCTGGAATCTTCTTGATTTTCCTGACGTTGCCAGAAATTTTCAGAGTTGTATTAATTTAACCCCAACTGCAAAAAAAAAATATTAAATTAAAAATACATTTCTCTGTATGTATGTAAGTATATACCAGACACTTATAAGACATAAAATTGTAGTTATGACTAACTGACTCATCAAAGCGGTACCAAAAATTGATATAAAAACCTCTACGCCATAAAGGCAGGCATTGAATAATTGGAGACGTCAAATCTTACGAGTATGAATATAATTATACTCTCTTTTGCAAATGAAAGCCTACTTGATTAATATTTCCTTAAACAATAACCCCTAAAGACTAATGAGAGAGAAATTTTCCGAGAAAGTAAATATCCTCATTTTTCAAGTTTAAGATTTAAGAACAGGATATTTATTTTATCTTTCTACAACTACAGAGCATACCAAAACGAAATCGTGTTACTTAAAATGTGTAACTTTTTAATAGCCTATGATATATATTTTTTAAATATGAATTTGACTTGAAGAGTTGTAAGTTTGAAATACTTATATTCTAATCCTTCCAGATAGGTCTACGGGCTTTATAAAACAAACAATAAAACTTATAAATATTAAAAAATATTCAGTTCATTTTACACCATTAGTTGGTATATTTTTATACGTAGATGATATCATTATATATTATAGTAATCCGCATTCTTTATAAAAAATACAAAAGTTGGGTTTGTCCAGAGGTTGTTAAGTCAGTTACTACCAAAAATATTAATGGACCACCTGACAACACTTTCTTGTGGATTCCAAAACATGATACTTAATATATTCATAACGATTGAGCTGGTTGGTATTAAAACAACCAAACAATAATTGAATACTTATAAACCTGTTAATATAGACAATATATAATGAACTGCGAAATTTTGGTTATATGAAAAATTTATATAACATTTGTTACTATTTTGTACTTTATCCATAGTACTTCTCGATATAATAAATTTAAAAAATCCTTTGCCTATATGGAAAGATATTAACTTGATTAAATTCAAACGTCAACTATAAGCATATATGTAGATAAGGTTCATTTTTAGTTGGTTTGACGAAACATAAGAATATTACAACACAAAGAGTCATGACATTTTACTCAATTCGTGTTGCTTAAAATAGTATTCATTAATGCAGTGGAAAAATAATTGGTACCTCATGGCAGACATTATTTTTATATTTATTGTTTATAAAGTATTCTTTTTCAATATAGGTATATAAATTCCATTTTGTTTTGTTGGTAAATAAAACATTTATTAATCATTTATTTTTACGCCGTTATTTTTTCAACCAACGACAATTCACACGGCAAAATCTACAATACACGATAAACGATAGAAATACGTTTTTTTGTAAATAAAAACAATCATATCAATCAATCGTGAATACAATTGTTCGTATTGTAGTATGAATTGAAGTAAGCCTTTATATTGATATACTAAACCGTTAGACCACCGACGCCACGTCCAATTCCCTTAAGGGTAGGCTGAGATAAGAATTGCAAAATGCCTCCATTCTTATATACATATGTTGTTTCATTAATTACCATAAGTTATCTCAATCATTCACGCCTGTTCTGTGTCTCTTAACAAATACATTATGTCATAATTTTATGTAAATATTCATATACCAAAAAATATTGGTTGGTAATACCTACCATTCAACCGATGAATCGAAACAAATGCAATACTCGATAATAAAGTTCTAATGTCAGAAACATGCAAATATAGAAATTTAAATAAAAATTGTTGTGCAAACCCAGTTTACGTTAGTGATTAAGCAATACCACAACCAAACATCATTGTTATTTTGTATTAAATGGCAAAGTTCAATATTATATGACTATATTGTATACATATATAAATATCGTCATACAATACAGCGACATATATTCAACTAATTTTAAATAGTAGGTTAGATAAAGCAATTCATGCGCAACTTCAAATGTACGAGTAAGTCATGTAAACACCAACTACTATAGACAGATACTCCATACACGCCAATATCTATGTCAACGATGTATTATATCTAATACTAGAGATATTCATAATGCAACATCGCCTACAAAACATAGTTTCTACATGAGAGACAGGCAATACAACAATACAAGCACAATGGTATATCCTATTTGTTTAGTTCAAATCCAAAATTCAATATTTCAGTGATAATACGATTTTCTGATGACTAAGACTATAATCATAAATTTACATAGTGACAATTTTTTTTAATGCAATTGGCATGTGCTCCATGAAATAAAATATGCTCTGCAACATATCTAACTACATGTGAAGACCACTACGGTGAATTTAACTAACAAGATTAAAGTGCTAATACTAACCTTGAAAATTTCTGTATAATTGCAAATCGAAACAAAGGTGCAATCAAAACAAGTGACTCAAAAACCTAAACTCACCGTTGAAATTCTACTACGTCGTACTTCGGACCATGATATTGTCTGTAAAATATTTATTTATTACAACAAAAATATAATCTACCGGATCGAATATTAATGAGGGTGTTTATGTCTAAAAAAAATAACACCTATTCCAATTTAGAATTTCGTATCAGTCCAGTTGTATATTTTATATGTATATGTTTTTTTACATAAGTTATACACTTATATGATGTTTTATAAATATAACAAGTACCTATAACTACCCATTTTTATTTACAATAATGCAAATTGTTATTTCAGTTTTATAGTGTTGAGTGTATGAAACGATAATAGTAAATGTAGACAGCATAGACTTCTAAAATATGTATATTATTGGCGCAATCAATTTAAAAGTTTATTAAAAAGAAATAAATAGTACGCTATTTTCGTACACAGAAAAAAAGCCATAATATTTATAAAGTGTACGTGTAATAAAACTATTGAGAATTTCCAATATAGCGACAGTATTTTACAACTTACTCACTGCAATATGACTTGAAATATGAAACATTTCTTTAATCTACATATAATACTTTGGGATGTTGGAGTTTTATAAAACTTAGCAAAAAGCATTTTTCTTTAGATAGATCATCCAGCAAAATAAAAAATTAGAGAAAGTTTTTATTTTGCTGGATGCACACATCCTTAGTACCCTCTCTACCTCCGGGGTCAATAGCGACCTGCTAGACCATTATACACCTTATATATTTTCTTAAAGTAATAGTATATATATACACTGTTGTACATATATTAATCATGTCGCTGTAGGGTCACGGCTATGTCCATTCGACAAGGGCTATGAACTTCAATTTAATTGCGCAACAATTAATAGTATGCATTGTACATATCGTGTCTATAAGAAAAATCTCGTCCCCGTCCTTAATTTTAATAGTAACTTTCAATAAGTCCTTGTACTAATGTATTAATGAAGAGTTACTCTTTTTCATATTTTATATAACTCACTGAGAGTGCAGATATGTAATGCTTCATTAATTTATTACTGTTATATTATTTTTTATTGACTTTTTACTTCAATAATTTCTACGCTATATACATTCACTAATTCATTAGATTCTTTAGATGTTTCTTTTCATCCTAAAATTTATATTGTATTAATTAAGACAATATTTCTCTAAAATAATTTAACAGATTTTTGTAATGGGCGTACCATTACAAAAATTACAACATAATTTATCATGAAAAAATGGTACTTCAGAATGAAAAGAGTATTAATTTATTAGAATGTTAGTTCACTCCACCTGTCCGCGTAGGTTATGGTCACTTTCGGTTTGTTTGATACCGACTTAGCTTTTTTGAGTGCGAGGGCACCTGCGCCCACTGCTCCTATTTTAGCTGCTTTCAATCCCAGGGCCCCTGAAAATAAAACAGTCACGAAATATATTAAAATCTTGATCTGATTATATTGTATATCACTTTCTTGGGCTTACTGAGACAACTTAATTTAAATGGCACGGATCCAAGTTCGTGCTGACATTGCCTAGTATCTTATCCTACAAATGGAGTGCCAAATAGGCACCAACAATGGATACCAAACTTTCTCTTTATCCGTCATATAAACTCTGGAACAAGTGGTTCCATTGAATATTTTAGTAGAAAAACTTGATATTCATGATGCTGACAATATGATATAATGAATTTGTATTCCGAATGAATGGTAGAATCAAAAATACATATAACTATTCAAAAGTACTTATATTGAGTTTATTTGAATAAAGATTATTTCAATTTAGGGTTTTCCAATTTTATTACCAATATCGTACCTACTCAGGTAAGTATACAATCCTGGACCATACGTCTGGCTATAAATTGACACAAAAGAAAAATTTAATTTCACTGATTATCGAAATAAAACTATATATGCTGTTTCTATTTATTTTTTTAGTCCCCGAAGGATTTACGAGAAAATGTAATACATATAAAACGTATTAAGGTCCTCTTATTATTTAATGTATAAATAAATTATTATATCAAATTGAAAAATATATTAAAAAGTTATTGGCTTTTATGGTGGTGAATTTTAATCAATTCCTGACGGTATATAAAGGTCTCTTATTAATTGATTGTTAGGTATTCTCGTGAAAACGGAACAAAACGAATTCCGCTCCAGCGAAGCCTATGTAGGAGATAATCTCAAAAAGTACGGTAATACCAGATTTTAATGAAAATGTCTTCATTCTAATTCATCGTAGGGTTTATGCATGATAACATAATATCAGAACAAAATTATAATCACGAGGTGTATAATAAATATGTATTAATAAAAATACATATGTATGCACAATGCGACATATGTCTAATAAAGCTTTTTAAGAGATTGTCAGTACAGTTTAAGTAATTAGGAATGAAGATTACATTAGCATGTATAAACAAAAATAAATATAATATATATATTGAATATAATATAATATCTACTTATGGACATGCGCATAGAGATCTAGTTAACAAGTTAGTTTAAAACAACTTGCGAAATATTTGAATAAGTTCCATTAAAATGTTACAGCACAAATAGTGTGTAGGTATATTCACAGACAGACACATTTTCTTGCGATCTACTTTGACTTTGATTTATTTGGATATTACGATATTGTTTATTTGGATGCGAAAACTTAAAAAGTGTTTGAGGAATCGAACCTGCGACCATCAAAAGTTAGACGGTGTGCAAAACGTTACATCACCGAGGCCGTCAAAACTAAAATCCTCGTTTCTTTTTATTATACTAAGGCTACAAAACCACTGTAAATAGCTAATTACCTATGTTGATAAATAAAGTGCAACATACAGGCAAATACCGCAACTATTGTTGACATATTAAACAGAAGGACACATTAAACACTAGTTACACTTTGCATAGTGATATCATAGTATCCACATACGTAAATAATTCCAAGTTCGCACTCTCGACCGTCAGATATGCTAAACTGGCAATGACCCCAATAATCGAACTTCTGAAATTCTTTCTTTGTAGTTCCTTTGTCGAAGTACCTTGACTGATATTATTATGTTAAAAATATAGATTAGACATTACACAACAAGTTACGTTTCGGCAGTAGTTATCTTTTATACCATCAGTTCGCCATATTTTATTTTAGGACAACTCTTTGTTTTTCTATATCTAATAAATTTGGATTATGTACTATAAAGTCAAATGACAATTAGCGTTGAAATATCAATAGCCATATCACTTCCTTCTTCTAAATTCTCATCATTTTCTTCATCAAGGATCCTGTGTTATGCATATTCTACTATTTATTATTATTTAATGCCATAATAAACCTTTATGGCAATGTAATTAAGTCGAGTAAAGTACCACGAATCTGGAGAAATATAGACACGTTAACTCTATGCTATTAGGTATGTTCTATATGAAACTGTACGTAATAGTTTTAAAGTATTGTTTTAGTATATATAATATATATATCTACACAATACGAACGGCTATTATACAAGATACCTACTAATTATTAGGTAATATAAATGTCAATTAGAAGCTTTTAAGTTCTCATGACTTAATCGCAAATGGCGTTATCAGGGACAATGTCACCTTTCGTCTTTTCTGTTTTCAACTATATATTTAGTAGTATATTTGGAACTAGCCAATATAAAATAAAACCAATCCAACCTGAGACGGGCCTATTTACTGATTATTGATGTTTCCCACTATTGCATCTAAGATATGTTATGGACTGAAACTGACATAAAAACTTTGGTATCGGCCATATAATGACTCTAGAGCTTTAGCGTATATAAATATAGGGAATAAATTAGTAAGCCGGATTTGAACAATACAGCTTTTACAGTAGATAAAATTAAAAATAACCTCATTTACCTATATAATGTAAACACTTACCAAGAATCAGCTTCTTTTTGAGAAGAAGTAAAGCTTTCCGTTTTGTTCTAGAACTCCTTTCGTGCGCTGGTGTGTCATTTACAGATTCATATAAGTCTTCAGTGTTCGAAAGCTGTAGTGCATCCACTGCTGGAACCTGTTCGTGCGCACGCGCAACCACCGCCGCTACCACACATGCGAGGACTACTAATGTGCTCAACTGCATTGTTTCTGAAAATACCAAGTTATATAAAGATCGTCGTCAATCTATGACGTACTATCTAAATTTTATTGACATCTTCTCCGAAAGACTAAAAGAGAAATACACTAGATAGATAGATACATAGATAGATATATCGTTTATTTGTTTGTTACTTATCACACACAACATGTTCATAAGAATAGACAATACATAATACAACATAAGATTTATAAAATTGAGTTATTATGTGTGATCTGTAACAATAATAAACAAAAAGGTCGAAGCTCAGCGTGGAACATTGTTCAAGGAACAAAACACTGATTTTCAGCTTTAACCCATTTGAGGGTACGTGAAAATAATAATTAAAATAAATATAAAATAAAAAGAACAATATTTTTGGTGATTGTCTGTGCGGTGTGTGCCTATAATAAAAATAATGTAAATAGTTCAGAGTATAATTTAATATAATTTAAACTGTGGTAAGGATGAAACGAAAAAAAAGAAAATATTAATAAGAGTAACATAGAAAATTTTTTATTAAAAATCTATGAATTCATGACAAAAGTAATTATTTACTAGTACCATGAACTCATAGCACTTCGTGTATTTGCACAAGCATGGATGTTAACATTTTTTTTTTTAAATTATAAAGAAAATTATTGAATATTGGAGTTATATTTGAAATTTTTGGTCGTGGTCACTTGTTATAAAACAATTCGCTTTTCCCTGCATACTATTTCCTACATAGATAAGGACCCTCGTGTAGGTTTAAAAGGGCACTTGAACCGATAAAAAATATTCTTATTGATCTTATAACGAAAATACAATTCTGACGTCCGGAAATGTGAACGAGCAAGGTCAACGGGATTACAATATAGGTAGATGTAAAGGGAAAAATGCATTGACTCGTCTGAAGGACATCTAGTTCCTTTCCCTGCGTCTGAAAATAGATATACGAGTAAGTATGTAATATTAAGCCACATCTAACAATATAAATTAGTAAAATAACTTCACGGCTGTTATTCCAGATTTATAGTCTGAGGCATTATTGACTGTCGACGTCGTTATAAACACAACACTTGACATTTCAATGGTAGGTATATTTAAAACCTATGTCGCAGTGAGTGTTATAATTTAGTAATTACTTATATTGTTTCATGAGAAATCTTTTATGTTATTGAAACTGAAAGGCTTTCCATCCCTACATAAAACTATTTCACTACTACAGTTTAGGTGTTCTCGACGTTCATTAAATTTCTTAAACATTCATTTTTTTCTACTACTAATATATTTTTAAGGTATAATTATTATACATAGGTGCTTAAATGCCGGAATTGAACAATATATTAATATAATTACAGTATTAATTATATATAATAATATAACATCCAATTTACAGGATGTAATTACGGCAATATTAAATAGAGTTCTAATTTTTATTAGGAATTTAGAAATTTCATTACATATTTTGTTAAATGACTACATTGTATTATAATAGTGACTAACTTAATTCACTGCAAGCTACACTAGTTTATAATTTATAGTATATTTACTATAGACATAATAATTATATCAGCATTATAGTGCGATTAATTAATAAATTATATAAAATGATTGAGAGAAAGACGTACAATGTACAAATTTTGAGATGTTATAAGTACACATAATAAAAAATCCTATAAAATGTATTAAAAAAAGAAGGAAAATATACGATACAAATATTATTGAAAATCATATATGGAAAAGTTTTGAGGAAAATGTTATCATTTACTCTTATTACAGTAATATCCACTTCTATTTATAGACGTGAACTCTGCCAGAATGGTACTGTTCATATGGAAACTACATTTAAAACAAATTATTTACTTAATACAGTACTTTTTTAAATTGTAATAAAAAATACCTTAATACAATTTTTAAAAAATTAAGTCATTTGATAAAGGAAAATACTACAATTGTTGCAAAATATTATGCGACTAATAAATGAGTAAACAATAAAAATTTACCGCAAATTATTAAAGCGTAACTACACTCAACTACTTTTTTGACAGTTGAAACTTATTAACGTAACCGTTTGATATAGGAATAAATCATTTTAATCCTGTCCCATCTGCCTACTTGTGTAAGTAACGATATCACAACATTGTGACTTACTTGATTCACAAAGTTATTTAATATATACTATTTACTTATTTCTGCCATGAAGCAGAAACATATAAGCGTATATGCGCATGTAAGTGCGTGTGCATACAAGTGTAAAATAATAATTACTGACACGAGACTTACAACTTAATTTCATATTTTCACGTGTAACGAAGCATCAGAAGTGTAACTGTTAGTATAACAACCTTCCATGATTGATAATCGTCATCTATAAACATAAATTTGATACCATTTTCGTGATCACGAAATATACCGTCCATACATGTTTTACCTTTATGAGTGTACACTCAAATAGGATAGTCCTAACATGGTCTTATGTCGAATAGTTTCATGGCCGCATGTCACCGTTCTATATTCTTATATATAATCTAATATATAAAAATCTCAGGTCACGATGTTTGTTATTGAACTCCTCCGAAACAGCTTGACCTGTTTTTATGTTTGCTTATTTTTAACCAAATATACATATTGGGTAAATCTAAGAATAGGTCGTTATCTATTTTTTATACCCCTATCGAGAAATAATTTATATGGCAAAACAACGGTTGCTGGGTCAGCTGCTTTTATATATTTACAGCGTTGTTTATGTCCTTTGAGGTTTTTACTTCGGTTACCATTTTTCAGTATAGGAGCTGTCAATGTTTGCCTTTTTCAGCTATGCAAAAAAACCATTTGCAAATTTCTGCACATAATGATACTACGAAATACTCTTATCTGCCTACTTAATGTAAAAATATGCTAAGACACATTGATATTCGAACAACACAATATGTTAACCTAATAAAATACCATTCAATTAGTGAAATTAAGATTTCTAAGACTTCGGATTACTCTTAAATAATGATATCTGAGTAAATACCGGAGGAAATTAATTTCACGATTAACAGAAAAGGAAACTGCCCAATTAACCGAATTTCTAAAATTATCTTACATTAAACAGTACCCAGTAACAAAATTTACAAACAATGTATTTATAAACATCAGTATCAATAATGACAAAAAATGTAATGCTTGTTTTAATATTTTGTTGCTCTTTGCATGTTTTATAATATTTATTTTTGTATCGATCATGAATATAAGTATATATCTTTCCACTGTTACTGTTCGTACCTGTATTGTAGGTAAGTATTAGTTAGAAAATTCTTTGGGTGAAAATATCCTAATAAAATTAAACATGATTACAAATTGTATAACGAGGACGGACATAACTGTCTATTATCTCATAAAGCAAATAAAATCACGAGTATAACTGCTTACTCTAGGTACTATACATATAGTTTCGCGGAATAAAAAACCTCTAACCATCTGATTTCCGTTACACGTAGTAACGACGTCCCTAATAGTCCATAAGACTATTAAAGCGACGTCTTATCATAAAATAAAACTTTGTAAGTTTATTTACATAGTAGGACGAATGATCTATTCAAATAATAATCTACAGAATAGTGTCAATGCTATAACAATCTTTTAAAATGTTGAAAATATTAAGAGAAAATATTTATAAAAAGTTTCAGAAAAAAAGAATAGAACGTCGTGTCTGCAAAGCGGACGGAAATTGAGACGTTTTTATTTGATTTTCGTTCAACATTTCCTAGCTATCTTCTTGCGGTGCAGACGCCGGGGAAAATATTCATTCCGCCGCAATAAAAATCTCTACCTACACAACGCAACCTATAAATTAATAGCTCAAACAACTTTATTAATGCATGATATGTTTGATAGGTACTAATAATGTAAATAAAGCAGTGTGTTAAACAAATATAATGCAATATGTATGTTTGTCGTCTTTACGAAATAAATAAACTGATGATTGGTGCTTGTGCCAGAATATTTACGTTACACACACATATAAGAATAGTCAAGCGTGAAATCAATACACAAGGCACGTATATATATGTATACATTATACAATGAGTAATTGTTAAGTACCTTGATGGATCAGTTCGTACACAACACAACACTGCTGCAGGCACTGACACACAGACCACGATAAATTGATGGTCAATTCTTTTATATACTGCAACTACGAATATCTGTGGGAGGGCGGATGAACAATGCACGCAAGGGCCTAGTTTTTCCAATGCTTATCGCATCTCCAGTATTCTAGGGAAATGACACCTTATTATTAACCAGATATATACAGAACATCTGTTTTTTTTTTCATGTGGTGGATGAATATTCCTGTAGGGATGAAAAATGTATTTAAAAATATTTATTTATTAAAATTTCAATACACAAATACACCAATAATTAATAATGATAATAATAATAATAATAATATATTTATTTTTTCTCCACAAAATCATACATAATATAAAGTGCTGCAGAGCCTTTGAGGCATGTAAAATTCTATGCAAAAATACCGATTTGTGAAGAACTGGTGCCTGTACGGTATCCGAAGAACCTGTATCACGGGTCATCAGGTCCCTCCACTAGATCTTACATGCTAAAATTTATATGTAGGTACATTAGATGAGGGATATGGCTACTATATTTAATGATACAGAGAATATTATGTAGAGAAAGAACAATTAAATCTAATGGTACGTTAATAATGTAAAAGTATCCAACAGAGAAAGAACACTTGTATGGCCCTACGCTATGTCTTTAATGTTGATAAATTACACATAGCTTATTTAACACTTAGAGGCATTTTCTTCCAGTCAACCATAGGGAAAACAGAGATTGATGTGGGCGGTGTATTATCAGAATTAACTATGTAAAATCTTATTATTTCACACTGCAGCATACAGTCCTAAACTAAAGGTAGCTTGTGTTATTAATACTAGATAACTAATAGAAGTACATAGATACATTTTTTTTTTAAATGCATACTTAATATACATAGACCATCATCCTCATAAATAAATATTAGTTTGTTTATATCTGTCTTGTCGTTTCTAATATCTGGACGATTTTTTAATTAAAAGAGATCGATTTTGACAGAACTTTCGGATATGACGTTATAAGGGGTAACTTAATTAAACAAATAACGAATTTAAATTTATCTGCTAGTACGGATACAAGTATTTCTTGTAAGGAAATTTCCCTTTTTTAGCCATAAAACCAATTCATGTTAATTCATCTCTTATAAACATAGGTATACATTATCATAATTATGTTCAGGTGTTCCGTTTCGAAGCCATCATAATCAGGAAGTCCTTCCAAGTATCCAAAAGTTAAACTCGTAAAAAATAACAGGTAGTTAATATTCTCCAGCGTCTTTAACAAGTCTTTATGGTAGGTAGTTATCATTGGAGCCCTTAAAAGGTATACAAACCATCAGTCAGTCCATCACATACATATGTTAAACAATAACAAGCTGAACGATAGGTCAGGTCATGTCATTACCAAAAATTGTGAGGGTTATTTATTCATTGACTCGATTAAAAGATTTTCATCTTACCCACACATATGGCTAATATGTCTTATATTACTTTCAACGTTTTTGCTCATAATAATGTTTTATTTTAAAAACTTATGTTCACTATTCAACGTTTAGTTCTTATTGTCTACTACCTGACCCGACAAATGTTGTTCTTAACTATAAATATTGGTATAATTAATAAAAAAATCCACGCAATTTTCTTATTTTTTTTTTTCATTGACGACCTCGATGGTCTAGCGATTTATCACACTGTCTTACTTCCGAAGAAAGCGGGTTCGATTCCTGTACAAATATTTATTTAAGTATTTGAATTAGTTGTTTAGTACACGGGCTCTGTTTAGCTTGAAACTTAGAATTAAAACCCTGAACTATTCACACAGAGACGACTAGATGACTCTGTGAGTTCTCTCTGTGTGTTCAGGGTTTAATGGGTTTTAAGGGTTTTAATATTATTATTCTGTAAATACTAAATTATAGTGATTTTTTTAAAAAATTAAATAATTTTTTTTTTAATTTGACTCAATATTTTTATTCTATAATTTAAAAATCAACTAAATATTTTTATATTATAAATTACAGCAATTTGATTTTCAAGGAAAAGATATTGTTATTGTTTACTTTTAAAATTCTATCACTTTGTATGATTTACTACTTACTATCTACCTAATAGTAAACAATTTAGCGTAGCTATGTTAATATGCCTACTTATTAGTGAAATTAAAGAACATAACGTTTTGTCCTTGTGGTACACAATTATTAACCTTGTAAATATAGTAAATCAACATATAACGGAGTATTTTAATTTGACTACGAAGAGTGATAAACTGATTGTCATAAACTGGCAAAATGGGGTGGAGGGGTATTGACCCCTCCACCCTATTTTGCCAGTTTAATAAATAGTGAAATAAATAGTGAATAGTAGCAATGGTATATACACAAGATTATATGGAGGACGACCTGACCTAGTACGTAGAAACATCCTCCCTGGAAACTATCCTGGCTAATCCCTGGTGATTTCCTCCTGATGGGCGGACGGTTTTGACTACAACATTCTCATTAAATTTAACTAGCGACTGCGCCTTTCACTCATTCTACCTTAAAAGATATCCTATGCTGGATCCTATCCTATCCTATGCTCTCTAGAAATATTGTGTGCACAACAGATATTAATATACAATACTTAATACAATTTTATAGTAATGAATTGATTTCGCAACTGCGTGTAATCACCCTGGAAACCAAAATGATTAAATCCTGGTCAATGACAATAGGTACGTATATATCATAATTTCATCCTCATTTATATATTCTTCATTAGTCTTTAGCGATCTCTATTCGCCATTTCAATATGATCGGCAGAAAAGACTACCTTTTGGAAGTTTGTTAATAGTTAATTTGTATTTTTTAATTTATTAAATTCCTCAATATATTATTACTTACTCGTAAATATACCTAATACAAATTTAAAAGTACTCGCAAAATCCAGTAGGCGTTCGTTACATAAAATATAAATAATGTATATGAATCTACTTATTTATTTTATAACGTCTTGTTGTACAACCACTTCGTTTCGTGAATCGTATTATAATTTTATATTGTAAATAAAATAGCGTCCATAACAACACAATTATTCATTCGCTTCTAGTTTTGATGTATTAATAGTTCTCATTTGTAGCAATTCAAGGTACCTACTTAAAATGAACTACGCCAGATACATAGTTATAGATATGGTAGTTTCTTTTGTAAATTGTAGTATGTAATACTCGTGAACATTTTCTACTTAGAAGCACTAGTTTTGTCTCTATTTGGTTTAGGTAACTAATTCTATTGGTATTCATTTTATTAAATAAAAATAAATAAATAACCATGAACAATTAATGTAGCGCTATCTAGTCCCACGGTAAGCAGAGCTTCTGGATACTACACAACCATACTATACAACAACAATAATACTTAAATACATACATAATATACATTGAAAACACTCAGACTGATACAAACAGTTACACTCACGAATAAATATGTCTGCACAAATTCAAACCGAGACCATTCGAAGTAAAACAAAAACCGCTAGACCACTGAGACCTTGAAAGAAAGAAAAATGCAAGCTGTAACTAATAAATTGTTTTTAAAAATATATAATAAGTATAAGACGTTTATCTTTATTTCATTATGAATTGAAGATCTGTATCAGTTCTCAAATCGTTTTACATTGCAACATTTTTATTGTTAATTCGTGTGATAACCACACTACCCTTTTTTTATAGTTACTACATATTCGAGGAAAATAAAAGATATTAATGAAATATCAATGCCGAAAAATTTATAGACTCGAAATTACGTAAATATTCTTTATTGACCTTCTGTTATATGCTGGAAAAAAATAAACATTTAACAACAGAAAGATGTACCCGAATTATCTTTTTACTGCATATCTTCATAATTACATTTTAGACAAATAACAAAACGATTATAACGAGATTTCGAAGTATTTTCTGCCATTGAATTATATCTCACCTTTTAGCTTATAGAAAAATTGTAGAACGATAAATCCTACCTACTTATCAAAATCAGTTATCAGTTTCTATGAAGAGCCAAATTATATTATTTCAGACTGAATAAAATAATAATAATTTCCACTAAAATATTACTACGTTTTCGGCCTCTGTAATATTGCGGTTTAGCACACCGCCGTACATCTGATGGCTGCGGGTTCGATTCCTCGTACGATCCAGACGTTTATATTCATTAGTGTGATTATTTGTATTGTTCTGGGTATACTCTTTGTATATGATGTATGTAATAAATAAAATATTATTATTATAATATTTCTATCAATTTTCTAGTACCCATAACACAAGCTCTGCTACAAATTAGAACTAAATGACGCTGTGTGATTTATCCTATGTTATTATTATCTCAATTTAGTTATTTATTAATTACTAAAGTATAGCGTTATTTTAACACGATGCTTCGACTGCGAAGGACATGCCCCATTATTTATATCGGGGACTTCAAAAAAGATTATGTAGCGAGTCCAAAGTGCCATTCGCGCAGTACATTGCACTTCGACCTCGTCACATTGATACCGCAAGGCGGGACAGTGGCGAAATGCTAGTCCGTCATTGGACAAGCAATCGATCCTCAAGGTTAAGGTCCTTAAGGGTCATGGACTCCTTGATTGCTTGCCCAATTAAAGATTTCTAGGCATCAATACCACTCCATTTTGTATTCTAGAGAACAAAAAAGTACGCCCATTATATTCAGTCGTATGTGCAACTCCTTAGCAAACCTTTCTTGTGTGTGGAGCCCTGTAACAGACCCTAACCAACAATCCAAACGTAACAAAGCTATGTTCAATTTTGTGGTATGGATTGCATAATATTTATGTTTGCGGCTCACTGATTAACTTGTTGGAACAAAGTACGAGCCGGTTCCGCGTTTGATCGCAGCAGGTTCGTGATGTGCGTCTGCTCATGTAATTTGTAATTACGTCAATTTGCGTGGTCAAAATGACATAAGGCTATTACAGTTCACGCATAAAAGTGGCACATGTGGTGACCGCACTGACTACAAATAAAGCCCAAATCACATTCCTGTACTACAAAGTAGTCCATG